CAAGACTAGTGATAAGACAGTAAGCCAAAAAGAAACTGAACTAGTTTCTATTTCAATTCCAAGGGCAGAGGGCTAGGAAGACTTCTGAGACTGGGGCAGATTCAGGTGTGTTCCAAAGTAATTGAGTTCTGATGTAACAGGAGCAGTCACCTACTATGCGTGAATGGGGAAGAAATGCATTAAAGGAAAAAATATAAATGACATTGATGCCAGAGGATTAGAAAATACAGATATTATCTGACAGTGCTACTGAAGTAAAGTACTATTTGTTTACTGTTGTTTCCTTAATTTCTGTTGAAAATTACAATTTCTGATTATTACTAGGGATCATAACTGGTAGTGCTTTTGTTTTTGTTTTTGTAAATAGCACATTGCAGTTGATGTATTTAAAGGTATTCCAAGGTTACTGGATTCTTGTTTAGTATGATCAGCATTGTCCCAAAACATTTGTCATACCTTGAATGGGTAATTGCTTGTTCCTTAATTTACCGTATCTGATTTTTTTTAAAAAGATTTATTTATTTATTGGAAAGTCAGATATACAGAGAGGAGGAGAGACAGAGGGGAAGATCTTCCATCCGATGATTCACTCCCCAAGTGACCGCAATAGCTGGTACTGCGTCAATCCAAAGCCTGGTGCCTGGAACTTCCTTCTGGGTCTCCCACGCAGGTGCAGGGTCCCAAGGCTTTGGGCCGTCCTCGACTACTTTCCCAGACCACAAGCAGGGAGCTGGATGGGAAGTGGAGCTGCCGGGATTAGAACCGGCGCCCATATGGGATCCCGGTGCATTCAAGGTGAGGATTTTAGCTGCTAGGCCACGCTGCTGGGCCCTACCGTATCTGATTTTTATGAAAAATCAATGTATTTGAAAGTCAGAGCTGCAGAGAGAAGGGAGGGATGCAGGGAGATCTCTGTTCACTGGTTCATTCCCCAAGTGGCCGCAGGGACTGGGCAGAAGCTAGGATTTAGAAGTACATCTGGTTCTTCCTCGTGGTGGCAGAAGCCCAAGCACTTGAGGCATCTTGTGCTGTTTTTCTCCAAAGTGTTACCAAGGAGCTGGATGGGAAGTGAAGCAGTCAGTACTCAGCTGCTCATTTGGGATGCCAGTGTTGTCGGTGGTGGCTTAACGTGCTATGTTACAACACTGGTCCATGTATCTGATTTAAGTTCGTTGACTTATGTAAAAATGTGGAGCCTCTCCCCTTAGACTCTTTGATTACAACATAACCTACTCAATTTGAGATCTCACTGGTCTACCTCCCTTTTTCTTGCTAACTGGTAAAGCCCATTGTGGTTTTTCTGCCACGAAGAATTCCTGACAGAAGTGGATCGCCTCTGCTGCCTCCGCTGTCACTATTGCAGGCTCGCACATTTCACAGTTGTGTTGATAATCATGTTCTCCGGCTCTCTCTCGGAAGATTGTAGATGAAATTGAGATTTTTAGCGTGGGGCTGTGGTGACAGTTGAGATGATAGTAGTAAGGAGTGAGTTGGTATGTGGGAGGATTAAGAGCTATTGTCTCGCAGACTTCTGCACCGCTGAATGTAAAGTCCTTGAGGCAGGAATTCGCTTGCTGAGCCCCAAGGTTGAAAGGGGAGCTTGGTGAGCATGTGGGAGGAGTTACGGGGCAGTGGGCGGGACCTTGCAGCCCTCCGTGAGGGCTTTGTAGCTGTTCTGCACACCCAGTGCTGTGGCTTCACTTCCTGCAATAAATCCTCCTTCTGTTCAGGCAGAAGCTTACCATTTCTGTACTGCTGGCTGTTGCAAAATTTTACACAATGAGTTGAATATCAAGATGTTGGGTAGTTAGCAATCATTTTACATGAAAATCTAGCTGCAGAGTGCTAACTTAAAAAAAATTGAATTTTAGGCTGTTCCCAACAGAAGAAAATATAGATGGCCAAACATAAAAACATGCTTGGCAAAAAAAAAAAAATACTTGGCCTAAGTCATCAGCAAATACCAATTAGGACAAATCTTCCACTTATTAGATTGGTAAAAGCTACAATGTTTGATGACACTGTGAGTAGTGTGTGAAGACGAGTGAGCTTCTACTGCTGGCGGATGTGCACGTGGGGACTGTTACTGTAGAGGACAGTGTTTATCAAAATTACAAATGTTTATACTTTTTGACCCCAAAAATTCACTTCTATAAATTGATTCCATAAATATACTCGTATTTGTGTAAAACAATGTTTGTACAAGATTATTCACTACAATACTGTTTATAATAGCAAAATGTTGTAAGCCATGAAATGATTGGTCCCTGATTAAGAACATGATAATACAGTTGCACAGAGTATATGGAATCTCTAAGATTATGCCCTTTTGGACTGCTGGGAAATTACCTCTTATGTATGCACATAGACTTAAAGTGTTGAGAAAAATACATGCGTATGCCCTCTGTGAACATCTCATAGCATAGATATGGGTGGAACAGGCACTTAGACCTTTAAGAGAAAAAGCAAGATATAGAGTAGTGAGTAGAATATGTTTTGATTAAAAAAAGTACTGTTTTGATAAAAGAGGACAGGACCATATGTTTATACTTGTACATACTACTGATTTTTCTGGAAGGATTCACAGGAAATCACTAATGTGGGAGGGAAGCTGGAGGTCGTGTGGAAGGAGGATTTTTATACAATCCTGTAATCTTTAGTTAAAAATGTAGAAAAAGATTTCTGTTTACAAGGGAATATATGTAAGATATAAGCAATAATAGTAGGTTGAAATTCTGAATCATTATAATTCAACTCGATAAATACAACATTATCATATTCAGAGACCCAGGGATTTTAATATTTCATCTTCCTCTTCCTGTTTTTCCTGAATTTGTGTTTAACAATACTGTTGTTTTTATGTACATTTTTTGACAAACATACTTCTAAATATAATCATGTTCAGTTTTTTTTGGAAATATTTATTTATTTGAAAGTTAAAGTTACAGAGGGAGAGAGATATTTTCTATCTGCTGGTTACACTTCTGATGGCTGCAGTGGCTAGGGCTGGGTCCGGCCAAGGCCAGGAGCCACAGCTTCGTTGGGTCTCCCATGTGGGTGGCAGGGTCCCAGACACTTGGGACATCCTCTGCTGCTTTTCCCAGGCCAATTACAGGGAGCTGGATCAGAAGTGGAGCAGCCAAGCATCGAGCTGGCGCCTAAATGGGATGCTGGCACCACAGGTGGAGGATTAGGCTTCTGTGCCGTGGTGCCGACCCCATATTTCTTTTTCCAAAGTTTGGTTTTATTTATATGAATGCCAGAGTGATTTAGAAAGAGGGAGAGACAGAAAGAAAAATAATTCTTCCATCTGCTGGTTTATCCCAAAGTAGCAACCATGTCCAGGATGGGGACAGGTTGAAGTCAGGAACCTGGAACTCCATCTTGGTTTCCCACGTGGGTGGCAGGGATAGAAACACTTGGACATCAGATGCTGCCTCCTCAGCCTCATTAGTGGGGAGCTGGATTGGAGGTGGAGCTGACAGGACTTTAGCAAGCACTCCAATATGAGATGCTCTCATGTCAGGCAGTAGCTTAACTGGCTGTGCCACAATTCAGACCTCTCTGTCATATTTCTTTTAATAAGTTTATAAAATTAATTTGAAAGACAGAAGGGTGGTAGTGGTGGTGGGACCTGGGAGGAAGTTGGGACAGGGATCTTCCATCTGCTGGTTCTCCCCAAATATCTGCAACAGCAGAGAGTGGACCAGGTTGAGGCTGGGAAGTGGGAGCTCGGTCTGTGTCCGTTGAGTAAGGGGTGAGACCCAAGTAGAGGAGCTGTCACTTGCCCTCAAGGCTGTGCATTAACAAGAAGCTGGAACTGGGAGTGGAGCCAGGACTGGAACCCTGGCACCATGATACTGTACATAGTTATTACAGGTTGTGTCTTAACAGCTAGGCCAACTGCCTGTCCTCGTTATTATGTTTCTTTCATTTATTTATTTTTATTACAAAGTCAGATATACAGAGAGGAGGAGAGACAGAGGGAAAGATCTGTCTGATGATTCACTCCCCAAGTGACCGCAACGGCCAGTACTGCGTCAGTCCGAAGCCAGGAGCCTGGAACTTCCTTCTGGGTCTCCCATGCAGGTACAGGAACCCAAGGCTTTGGGCCATCCTCGACTGCTTTCCCAGACCACAAGCAGGGAGCTGGATGGGAAATGGAGCTGCCGGGATTAGGACCGGTGCCCGTATGGAATCCTGGGGCACTCAAGCGAGGACTTTAGGCGCTAGGCCACAGTGCTGGGCCCATTATTATGTTTCTTAAAACTATGATTAAGAATAACAAAACAGGGCCCAGCATGGTAGCCTGGTGGCTAAAGTCCTTGCCTTGCTTGTGCCAGGAGGATCCTAGATGGGCCTTGGTTTATATCCTTGTTGCTCCACTTCCCTTCCGGCTCCCTGCTTGTGGCCTGGGAAAACGGGAGGATAGCCCAAATCCCTAGGACCCTGTATCCATGTGGGAGACCCAGAAGAAGCTCCTGGCTCCTGGTTTTGAATTGGCTCAGCCCTGGCAGTTGCGGTCACTTGGGGAGGGAATCAGTGGATAGAAGATTTTTCTGTCTTTCCTTCTCCATAAATTTGCCTTTCCAGTGGAAAATAAATACATCTTAAAAAAATAATAACAAAATAGAGGCAGGTGCTACAGCAGCACCTATAACCCTGGCATGCCGTATTGGAGTGCTGGTTTGAATCTTGGCTACTCTGCTTTTGATCCAGCTACCTGGATCAATACTCCTGGGAAGATCCCGGACACCCATATGGGTATGTGGATGGATTTCCAGATTCCTGCTCAGCCTGGCCCAGCCTCAAATATGTGGCCATTTGGAGAGTGAACCAGCAGGTGCAAGATCTCTTTTTCTTTCCTTCTCTGATGCTCTGCCTTTCAAATAAATAAATCTTTAAACAGCTGCAAAATATAGAATGTTTTTGTTTTGGAAATGCTGATTTTTATGTAATGATTGTTTAGTTCTCCTATTTTGTATGTGTTTCCTTTCTAGTCTTGATACGTCATCAAAGGCCTGGTCTTGCCAAGATGGTTTGTCAGACATCTCTTTATCCCTGTTCCATTAACATCCAGGTGCCCAGCAGGCATTTTGCTGCTGCTGCTACAAAGTAAGTATTTTATTTTTTCTCCTGTTACTTCATTTTGTATCACTTAAAATAAAAAAAAAATTTTGCTTATTTATTTTAAAGATTATTTTAATTTGAAAGGAGTTACAGAGTTACAGAGAGGGGATGAGAGAGAGAGAGAAAGAGAGAGAAAGTGGGATCTTTTATCCCCTAGTTCGCTTTCCACGAGCAACAATGGCTGGAACTGATCTGAAACCAGGAGCCAGGAGTCTCTTCCAGGTCTTCCATGTGGATGCGGGTTCCAAGGGCGTTGGGCTATCTTCTGCTGCCTTCTCAGGCCAGAAGCAGGAAGTTGGGTGGGAAGTGGAGCAGTCAAGACATGAACAGCTGCCTATATGAGATGCTGGCATTGCAGGTGGAAGCTTAGCATACTCCACCATGGCGATGGCTCACCAAATTATTTAATTGGAGAGAGAGAGATAGACAAATAGACTAATAGACACATGAAGAGAGAACTTCTTTCCTCTGGCCTACTTCCTAAATGCCCACAATGGCTGGGATTGGAGAATTCAATTCAGATCATATCCGTGACTGTGGCAGGAACCCAGTTTCTTGGGTCATCGTTGCCTCCCAGGGTCTACGGTGGCAGGAAGTCAGGGTCAGAAGTGAGAGCTGGGAATTGAACCCAAGTGCTCTGACATGGAATGCGGGCATCTTATCTGCTAAGCTAACTATCTACTCCCTCATATAAATTACTTAGTAAGAGATATACTTAGTTCTATTGCGAGTTAGAGGTATATACAGTTGTAAAAGTTTATTATCTTTGCTTCTTTCACCTTACACTTCTGAAGACAAGATAAACACATAATAACAGTACTTAACACCTAGTGAACAGTGGTGTTCGATACGTTGCTGGACTGTCATGCAGCTTTATGTGGCAGTTATTGTTTGGCTTATTTTATTGTGAATAAGATCAGGGCGCAGATATGTGATATAACTAGTGCAGAGTTGAGAGCTGACAAGTGTTGGAGCTAGGATTGGACCCCATTGAGTCAAACTTTTTTTGAACCCACTGTTTCAGTGAATTTGAGTAAGTTTTTCCTCTCTCCCTGAGTGAATGAGTGAGCAAGTGTGCTTGTGTGTGAGTGTGTGTAGGTCTCTCTACTCTTTAAATTGTGTGTTTTCCTGCTAAGTACTTCTCTTTGATCAGGTGTTACAGGATTATTTATCCTATGATAATGATAGTGGGATTTCAGATGTGACTAATTTGTAGTAGGGTATGAATTTAAGTTGATTATGTAGCATTTGAATAAGTATAAACTTAAGAGATAAAAATAAAAAAAAATATGTATTTAGTTGAAAGGCAGAGTTAGAGGCAGAGACAGAATGAGTGAGACAAAGAGAGAGATCTTTTATCCACTGGATCACTCCATATGTGGCTACAACAAGTCAGGCTGGGTTAGGTTGAAGCCAGGAGCCAGGATCCGAGTTTCATCTGGTTCTCCTATTCTGGGTACAGGGTCCAAATGTGTAATCCATCCTCTGGCTGCTTTTCCAAGTCCATTAGCAGGGAGCTGAATCCAAAGTGGAGCAGTTGGGACTCAAACCATTGGCTGTATGGGATGTTAGTGTGTAACTCACTGGGCTTCTGATTTTTTTTTTTTAATAATAAAAGATTATTTGAAAGGCACAACAGTTGAGAGAGAGGGAGAGGGAAAAGGGATGGAAAAGCAGAGAGATAAGGGAGAGACAAAGTTCACTTTTCTAGTCAGTCTCCAAGTGGCTGCCAATAGCCAGGTCTCTGCCAGGCTGAAGCCAGGAACCAGGACCTCCTTCCATGTGTCCCAGGTGGGTGCTGGGGCCTAAGCACTTCATCCTATGCTGCCCTCTGGTGCATTACAGGGAGCAGGATCGAAGTCAGAGTAGCCAGTATATAAACTGGTGCTCCAATATGTGATGGTGTCATTGCAAGCAGTGGCATGTCACACTTTGCCACAATGCCAGCCTCTCAACTTACAACTTTAAAGAGCAATGTTTTTTCAATATTTTATTTATTTTTTATTTGAAGGGTAGAGTTACAAAGAAAGGAGAGACAGAGAGAGATCTTCATCTACTGGTTCACTTGAAGTGGCACCACAGGTAGAAGCTTAATGTGCCATACCACAGTGCTGGCCCCCAGCAGCGGTTTGTTTTCTAGTAAGAAGCTGGGCTCTTTCTTTGTTGATACTTCCACCCCCTTGTTAAACTGACTGGCAATGTGATAGCCTAATAATATTCTTGCTTTGCTCCCCACTGAGGCAGGACTGAGAGCAGATGTTGGCTGAGCACTCCAGCTCCTTCTTGAACTATCTCCCTGCAGAGCATCTTACTAATTGTGCTTTTCCCCAGATGGTGCTGAGCTTACTGAAATGCAGAAACAGAGGTGGTAGTTAGCATCATCCTTTTTCTGATTGTCTTCTACGTTGTTACCAGTTTTGAGGCTAAAATGTCTTAGATAGAATAAGATATTGCGAAGCTGTTGTAAAAACTTATGAACTGCTTACTTTATGCCAGATACTCTACCAAGAGTGTTAGCTCACTTCATTTAATGTTAGTTAATTTAATCTTCCCAGCAGCTCTGTGGATCACAGATTGTGTTTTAAGTGTTTCACAGAGAGAAGAATGACAGTCCAGAGGTTAAGTAATGTGTCCAGGGTTGCATAACTACAAGCTCGTGGAGGAAGGTGTTCAGACCACGTTGGCAGAGATGAATAGAATCCATGGCTTTGGAGGGTGGGATCTGAAAAGCTTGTGGAGTTCAGTCTCCAGGATCTTATGACAAAATTTACTGGAATGCAATTCTTAGCTTATGGGGTACCCCAAATGAAAATGGAAACATGGGAATATATGTATACATGTATCTATCTATCTATCTATCTATCTATCTATCTATCTATCTATCTATCTCTATATATATATATATAGAGAGAGAGAGAGAGAGAGAGAGAGGAGAGACAGAGAGAAATATATTCTGTCTGATGATTCACTCCGAAGTGACTGCAGCGGCCTGTGCTGCGCCAGTCTGAAGTCAGGAGCCAGGAGTTCTTCCGGGTCTCGCACACGGGTACAGAGTCCCAAGACCTTGGGTCGTCCTCGACTGCTTTCCCAGGCCACAAGCAGGGAGCTGGATGGGAAGCAGGGCTGCCTGGATTAGAACCAGCGCCCAAATGGGTTCCCAGTGCATTCAAAGGGAGAACTTTAGCCATTAGGCCACTGCATGGGTTCAGGAATTTTTTAAGTTTGTAAACATTCTACCGTGTGATACATTCTTGTTTCTGTAAATTTAGTGTCTGGCAGCTTGGCCGTGCTGTCTCTGTGTTTACTGTGTGTAGTGGAGTGTGTGTTGGGCACTGAGCAGGATGGTGTGATATGAAGATGAATCAGGAACCTGTTCTGGTCCTCTACCTTGCAGATTTCGCAGTGAGCTGGCTGCAACGTAAATGGTTGCTTTTTAACTTTTTTTTTTTTTTTAATGAGTTTGTTAACTCTGTTGATAGATAAGAGGTACTCATGGTAAGCAGTTTAAAAGTAAAAGGGGTATGTAGTGAAAAGCAGGTCTTGTTTCCACCGTTCCTGAACCACTCAGTTTTAATGATCTGTATATATTACTTAGTTTTTGTATAAGTAATAATATCTGGTATACTCTGTTCTGTGTCTTGCTTGCTGTTAAATTTACATATTTTAGAAATAGTTTCATATGGAGCTGACTTTTTTTTAAGATTTACTTTTGTTGGAAAGGCAGATCAGATTTACAGAGAAGTACAGACATGGAGAAAGATCTTGCATCCATTGGTTCACTCCCCAAATGTCTGTAATGGCTGGAGCTGAGCTGATCCAAAGCCAGGAGCCTGGAGCTTCTTCCAGGACTTTCACACAGGTGCAGGGTTCCAAGGCTTCGGCCTCTCCTCTATTGCTTTTCAGGCCACAAGAAGGGAGCTAGACGGGAAGTGGAGCAGTTGGGACACTAACTGACACGCGTGTGAAATCTCCGAGCTTGCGAGGTGAGGATTCAGCCACTGAGCCATCACATAGGTCCCAAGCTGACTCACTGTAGAATATGTTATTGGGTGAATATTCCATGATTTTTTATAATTCTTCCTGTGTTGGCACGCATTTCTGTTTTGTCATATGAGTGATTCTGCTGCTAATGCGCATGTTATGGTTCCGTTACTTTGCTGCCTCTTGCGCTCTGCCGCCAGCCTGGGTGACAGGGATTGAATTCCAGGCTTTGTCCTGGATGATGTGGGCACTTAGGGAGTGGAACAGCGGATACATCGTCTCTCTGTCTCCATCTCTGATTCTGTCTCTCTGGTTTTCAAATAAGTAAATATTTTTGAAAATTTAAAAATCACAAAAATTTATGAAGAGAGTTTTTTTTTCATATCTGACAGTGAGAGTTGTTTAGTAGCTTGATGGAATCAAAGCATTCATAATTTAGTTGTAGTGGTTTTCATTTTTAATATAGTGAATTTATAATATATTTTAAAGATTTTTTTCAGATTTAATACATTTTTAAAGATTTATTTATTTGCTTGGAAGGCGGAGTTACAGAGAGGGCTAGATCCATCTGCTGGTTCACTTCTTACAGCTGGACTGGTGCAGTCAGGAGCCAGGAACTTCTGATCTCCCACAGGGGTTTAGGGGCCCAAGGTTCCTACCACTTTCCTGGGAACATTTGCCGGGGGCTTGATAGGAAGTGGAGCACCTGGGACTTGAACCTAATATGATTTTTAATAGAAATCTGAGATGAGGTAGATGAGCAAAACTCATTTTTTTTTCCTCTCTCTTTCTCCCTTTCCCCTCTCCCACTTTCTCAGCTGTCTGGATCTCCCCTGTGTGTGTGCTCTGCTTGCCAGCAGCAGGTCTTGATTTTGAAAAGGTCACTAAAAAAATTCCTGGCTTGTCCGACTCTGATTTAGTTTCCCTCTTGACGGTGGGTTCTTTCCTCCCCTGTCGCTATGTCTGACGTTTTTAGCGGATGCTGGGCAGCTTGTGTAGAGCAG